TTTTTTTTTTCCTCCCTAATTTTTTTTTTTTCCTCCCCAATTTTTTTTTCTCCCATGTCCCCTGGGGGGCTCCGTAGATAGTCGACGTAATCGTGACGAGTCGACTAATCGTGGCAGCCCTACAGTGCAGCGTCCCAAACTGAACGCATGTTGTTTGTCAGCGTGTAAACGAGAGATTTCCTCAGTCACAGTTAAAACGAGGTCATTTATTTCCAGCTGAAGTTTAGGAAAGCGCACAGAGCTGGCCCACTCTGTCTCGTCACCGGAGTGCTGCTTCCTGCCGTCTCTCCTCCTGCTTCCCGTCCACACAGATGTCGTCATGATGGCCTTGTTATAAGCGGGCCGGGTGGAGAGCCTCGAGGCTCAGGATCCACAGAAGAACTCATTACCGCACAGAGATAAGAGACTGGATGCATGACTGCAGGCAGCATCCTCATTACAGGCTGTATGACCACACGGCTGTCCAGCCATGTGAGCTCACTGAGCATCTCAGGAGCTCTACAGAGCGCTCAGCCTCAGGCAGAACGCTCCAGATATAAATATAGTTCAGTCGAAGCTTTCTGCTGATGCACGCATGTGTGAACGCCTACTGAAAAATCTTTACAGCCAGCAGCATCTCTGTAGTGCACTGTGGCGAGTCAGAGCGCGCACACAGTGTTTACAGGACAGATTAAGAGCACAACTTTGCATCACAAACGTCTCATTTGCGTCCTGGACACGCAGCTCTTCCTGTGGCTAACAGCATCATAAGGCTGAGCTCTGACACTTGGAGGTAAAAGTATCAGAGACCAACATCCAAACCTGAGAGTTCAAACTTCTCTTCCACTAGTACCGCAGACGAGAAACAGTCTGCCTCTGCAGCACTGAGCGTCTGCAGCGGCCGGAGGCGATCGCTGCTGAAAGGAACAGAACGCGAGACGTCTGAATTATTAACGGCTCTGTGGGAGGAGCTCCGCTGTGCGTGCTGATGCTGGAGGCTAGCGCAGCTGCTGAGGCGCATTACCAAATCGTCTCATACATACCAGCGATCGCAGGTGTGTGTGTGTGTGTGTGTGTGTGTGTGTGTGTGTGTG